TCAAAAATGCCTCTTCTTCTTCTTGCCTGTAATGAGATATCAAGGTCATGAAATACTGATGTCCACACTTCCTGATCTTCAGGTGCTAAGGTACACACACCAGGCTTGGTTAAGTAAGTGTCCCTCCCTTAGCAATCCTCGTGACCCAGAAGTGTAAATTCTCCCCCTACAGAGAAGTGCCAACGGTCCCATCGAAGTGCCTTAAAATATTGTTGTACAAATTATTTGCAATTTCCACACGTTGAATATTTATTTAACTTCAGATTGTCTTTCAGAATTATATTAACTTGAAAATCATTTGGCTGGTGCATATCAATTAGATCTCTAATATTCTGCACAAAAGAACCCTCAGAAGTAAATAATTATAACACACTCTGAATATAGTACATTTTATTTGTAATATTTCTCTGCTGATAATAAATTGGCTGAATTTGTTAGCCAATTTTTTCTCAGCCTTTTTTAACCCATACCCCACTTGTTCAGAAGATTTTAAAAAGCTGTGTTTTCTGTAGTTTATATTTCAAAAGAATATCTCTCCAAATGTAAAGTTATAAAACTGAATAAAAACAACACATGGACCCATTCTGTGTGCATAGCTACACACACACACACACACACACACACACACACACACAGAGCACACATTCTATAAATTGCCTTTGCCCAACTGAGAATCTCTACACTGAGTGGGTTTTTCAAAGCTCAGCTATTCATTATTCATTATTTTTAAAAGTGAGAAGCAAAGAAAAAGAGACAGGAGGATAGTGCTAAGAGAATATCAGTGTCAAGGGCATTCTTATAAAAAATGATAAAGGGCTACAAATAGGCAAAACCAAGGATTCTAGTTTTCTGAAGCTCCAAATCCTTTAAATAAATGATACAGAAAAACGCTATGCAGTATGCTAACTGTCCTTATTATACCTTATTCATCTACCCCAGTGAGCCAGAGGTAGGTGCTATTGTTATTTTCAGAAGAGTGAGGCTAAAACAAGCAAGAAAGTAGCAGAGCTAAGCCTGGAACTGAGGCCTGTCTGCTTCTAGGTTGGACCTCTTAATGTTTACATTCTTCCACTCCCTTCAGTTATATAAATTTTACCAATATTTTCTTGTAAAAAGAAGTGAACATAGATGCCTTTGGTTTTTTAGCAAACCCAGTCGAGACTCGAATGTATCGGCTGGATCACATAAAGAGCCAACTTGTTCTGTACAATCTAAGGTCTCAAACCCGAAGTGTTCAGACTGGCATGCCATTGAAAGGAACATTTGTTGGCAAAATGTGATATTTTTATCCAGCTCTATCAGCTACTATAATGCACAAATTTGAGGAAGAAAACAATGTTCTCAGAGCAGAAAAGTGGGGTTCAGAAAATCTCTCCATAAGGAAATAATTTCTACGTCTTGAAGAAATAAAAGTAAGGAAAGGAAATGCTGAAATTGAGAACACCCTATAAAAGAAATCCACATAGGTACCTGTGGTTAGGATTTTTCCATCATAGAAATATTTCCTCACCATAATATTTATATTCAGGCTATTACTGATTCCCCCACTGCCTCCTCCTCTCTCCCCTTTATTTTTGTTTTTAGTTGGAAAGTGTTGAGTGCTTTAAAGAAGGTCGCTTTGCTGCCAGTGGTGCTATAATTCAGATGATCCATAAGCCAAGACCTATTGTCAGTGGCTACTTATCAGTTTCACTGATGTTCCTCATCGACTTTCTGGTTGGTTTTTTTTTTTCACAAAGCCAAGCATTCTGTCATTTGAAATTCTAAGGAATAAGGTAATTTACCTATGGGCAGATGCAAATCCAAAATCTTTGGAAGGTTTAGCCTATTTTAGTATCTAAGTGATACTTAGATCGTGTTTTGTTACCCACACAGTTTCTGGCCATGGATGATAATAATGGTTGTGCTTCTTTACAAATAATTTCTGTCAAAATGTGTATCTAGATTTTAAAGAAGTAAAATATTTCACAAGATATGGGTTGTTTCCTTTATTTCCCTTCCCCATTATGGGCATTACAGGCAGAATGGACCAAGCTAAGTGAGATTCTTCTAGGAAATTAATATTCACTCAAAAAATGGTTTAGGATTACACCTGACACAATTGTGATATTATTTGTCTTCTGCTTTTTGCTTCCTAAAGAGCAACAAAAGATAACAAAAAAGACACTAATGAATTGCACCAAAATAAAAACCCTCTGTTGTGAAGCGTAAAAACTTTGACTCAAATGCTAGTAGAATTAGCAAATGGTAAAATAAGGTCATAAAAATATTAACTTGGTCATTAGTGCTTTGTACTCAACACTTTCTCATTAAATATATGTTGAATGAATATAATTGTGAAGAGGAAATCACCGGGGATTGATAGATAAGAACAGTTGTGAATATATATGAAACACTCTTGGGGATCCCCCTCAATATAAATGTATGAGATTTAGGAGAGGATATGCTTCAGCAATGATGGAAGATTTTAAAATATGTCTGTCATCATTAGTGCAATCCCTCATGTCCTCACAGGCTGAGACCTGGGTAAACACATTCCATTTTTGTTCAAAGGCCTATATGAGTGAGATTACTTTATATATCGCAATAGGTTAATAATGGTGTAAGTACTTTCTAACCAAACTCAAATCAAAATGTTCACGGCTGGGATTTATCTGATGACTCCTGTGATTTAGTCGAGTAATCTGTGCCCAGGCACAAAAGATTTGTGAATTGACTCATTAGATAATATCTGCCTTGCAATACCTCTTGGGATTTTTTTCCACTGTGGAACTGGAGTAATAATAAAAGGCATTTTTTGTGATGTACTGAAATAAAACATGAATCGTCCGTGGATGGATTTACTAAACAATTAACTCAAGAACATGAATAACATATTACAATGTGTTCCACACAGGTATAGCTATTTTTAATCACTAATCCCTTCCCCACAGGAATGGTAAGCAACTCCAAATACCAATGACTGGAACAAATTCCATGCCCTACACTGACCTCCTGCAGCATCTCCGAGCCAGTTCTTGCCTTTTTGGGTCTCATTCTCATTCTTGACTGGTTGACTCCAGAAGCACTCACACTGTCTTTGCATTTTCTCAAGGTCCAGTCAACACAGTATAGAGACTTAATTGCCTGCTGCCATTAACAACAAACAGTTCTTTTCTCGCCCTTATTGCTGCACACAGGCCTCCTGATCACTGCGTGTCCACCAGGACTTAGGTAGTTCCCTTATGTTTGCCTTCCTATGTGCCGTATTACATTTGTGCTTTACTTCGAACTTTGGGCTATAATGAAAAGTTGCCTCTGAGATGATATCTCCTTAGAGAGAAAATGTCCTTTTTCTGCTTAAGAGATTTCTCCCTTCTAAGCATCTGGCAGATAGATAGTAAGACCTACTGTTCTAAATCCTTGCTACCAAAAGAGAGACCATCTAATTCCTAAATGTACTGATTCTTTCAAAGTTCTAAACAATGCACTTTATTACCTTTCCTGAGAAGATGCTGTTATTCATTCTTTCTTTATATATCCATCTTCCTAAGGATGGGTGTTCAGTCAACTTTTAATGAGTGAGTGAATGGAGTGAGCAAGAAAGCTAATCATTGTTCACAAAAGATCGTCTCCTTTGGGGTATCCAAAAAGACACTCGTGAGGAAATGGACCCTGATATTTGGTTGATAGGTTTATCTTTGAGTACATTTCTGATTCACTGCTGAGCATACTGACATTTTGTATACAAGCTATTATTCGAGAATCAGAGCATCAGCTGTGATAATGAGAACAAAGGACACAAGGTAGAGTCTGACTTAACAGTAATAAAACTAAATTTAAAAACTGTATGAGAGGAGCTATTAATTAGATATGACATCTTAATTTTACGTATTTCGAATGCAGCCAGAATAAGTGCTAATTAAATGCTTTCAATATCCATGATTCCAACAGTCATACGTAACTTACTTCAAAATTTAGAAACTTAGTTTTAATTATGAGATAGAATGCTTCCTCTTCCCACCTCTTTACTGATTTTTTTAGAGAGGAGGGAGAGAGAGAAACATCGATGTGAGAGAGAAACATTAATTGGCTGCCTCCTGCACACCTCCACTGGGGATCGAGCCTGCAACCCAGGCTTGCCTGACCGCGAATCAAACCAGGACCTCTCAGTCCATGGGATGACGCTCAATCCACTGAGCCACACAGGCCGAGCTCTTCCCACTTCTTTAAACTGCTATAAATTCTTCCTTTCCAGGAGGGGAAAAAGGAAAACAAGAACCTATGCTTCTTCAGTTTTGCTCGATTCTTCCCCTAGCACCACCTCCATTTGGAAAGGGGAGGAGCATGCATGGACAGTACATATCTTCAAGGATCCCCCATATTTTTTGTTATATTAGTTTATGTGCATTATTACTTTCCTTTTAAAAGGTTGAAGTATCTCATAAACCGACAACTGCTCTAAAAATAGTCTTTAAGAAAAAGTTGAAGATAGCCAGCTGAGCAAACAGTCTTAACTGACATAATGCATTTTAAACATTAGTGAAATTCAATGGGATATTCTTAGAGGAACCATATGCACTTCAAGTCTGAGAAGCTGCCATTATTGACAAAGGTATATTATCATTCAGAGAGACTCCTAATTTCCAAATCACCATTGCAAGATACTTTTTCTTCTACGCCTTCTTCATTCAGGCTCTTAGCTCAATGGGTGCAGGCTATGGACAACTTAGGCTCTTACAAAAACACTCCTTTCATGATGCACAGAGCAATTCAAACTGAGTTTATGCATTCTTTGCTAATGTTCTTGATGACCTGAACCCCATCCTTCCCACTTCCCATTCTTTAAGACTTTACTCAAATCACATTTCCTTGGTCAGGACTTCTCTGACCATCCATGGACAGTTTCTCAAATTCTTTTTATTGTTCTTCATACTTATTTGGTGCTTCCAAACATCCATACAAATATGCCTTGTTTTTCCACTTAGTTTGTAGACTCTCTCATTCATTTATTTTTTTTCTAGGGGATAGCATGAATGCAGCCCCCCCACTACCATAAATTGCAGCTGAGTATCTGAGTATCCCCATCTGGGGAAATCACAGGGTCAGCACACCCGCAGTGCACTGGCTAACCCTCACCTTGGGAAAACCACCTGCATGATCATGAAATCTCACTAGCCAGGTATTCCTCATTCATGTCTACATAGCAGCTAGCATGTGGCTTTACTATAGTTGCTTTCAAAGGTTCAAGTACACAAAGGTTTGAAATGGGGAGAGGAAAGATGAAACCAATAGTGTTGAGGTTCACTTTATTTGTATACTGTTAAGTGATTTGCCCACTGGCTCAGCCTATTATTTCAAGTTATATCCTATATTTTGATTAGAAAATTCTGGGTATCTTGTATTATCAGAAATGAACTAAAAGTGGTACAAAGCTGAGTAGTAAAAATCATTGATGCCTATATTACTATTAATATGGGGTGCCTGGTTTATCCGTATCATTACTGTTATTAGAATCAACTAGTCAAAATTGTTGAGCAATTTGACCATAGAATAAGATAATTTTTTAATGTTATTTTTAATAGTTTTACAGTATACTTTAAAGAGAAGTTTTATTTTGCCTCTGCTGGCAATCATTAGGACCACAGACCTAGATGAGACCAAGAAGCGTTAGTATACACTCTTTCTTCAGGGTGGTCTAGTCTAAACTGCATTCTTCAGGAACAGAAAATATCAATCTATTAGGTTATATGCTATAATTCTTTTGGACGTTATTTGTTACTCATCAAATCTAATCCAATTTCTTCATGTTGTAGTACCAGAAAAGAAGCCGCTAAAAACATGTTAGGCAAAATAAATACTTTATTGTTTTAATTTTTTTTTTTTTTTTTTTTAGAAATCAGCTTTTGTGTGGTAATTCAAACATTTATAAACCTTTTAGATAGTTTTTCAAAGAATATTGTTAACATCTCAACCACTTTTGATTAAAATTTCACACAAAGAAATATTCTAGGAGTTGAAAATTATAAATGCTAAGGAAATAATTCTAATAACATCTGGTTGTTACTTTACATATTTATTTAACACATATATAACCAAATAGGAAACCATTTTCCTCTTTTTTCCCCATAAAAACAGTTTTCAATGGTTAAAACTGAACTAAAACCATCTACTGTAAAGAGAACAGATCTAAATTACTTCCATTTTGAAAAAAAAACAAACAAACAAACAAAAAAAAAATACCCAGAAAACAGCTTATTTATTTCTACCCATTCAAGTCACAGGCTCCATTATTTTGGAAATTTTCAACTATTTAGTCTAAAAGACAGAATAAGAAACATCTCCTTATAATAAAGAAGTCTGGACAATGTAAAAAGTACATAGTGTTTAATATAAGACACAGTTTCAAAAAGAAAAATACTATATAAGCCATAATAAAATTACATTTGTCTTGGATAAAGCAACAATGCTTACAGTGTAAGAACATTAAGTAGTTGCAGGAAACCTCATATGAGAATTCTATCCTACTGCTAATAGTAACTTCCTCAAGAACTAAGAGCAAATTTTCACAACAGAACAAATTTTCTTCTTGGAAGTGACACTAATTAACAGCAGTAGAGGGGAAATCATTGGTTGGTTCAAGCTCTCAAAAAATGAATCAGTTATTGCACAGTAAATACCTCATAGAGGTCAGTGTTTAAGGAAGCTAGTCTAAAGAAATATGTTATTTATATGTTGGTTAAGTCTGGAAGCTTTCAAGTTTTAAAATTAATTCTACATAGGGAATCAATTGGAAAATATTGACATACAAATAAATATTAGGCTTTTCAAATGGCTACAGTTTTGACAGTTTAGGAGAGAAATAAAGTCAGCAAAGTGCCTAAGTTTCTATGTACGGTTTTAAAAAGATATGCATAGAAGAAATAAACATTGTACACTGTATACAGCAGCCCTGCTCAGCAGCAAGTATCTTCTGAAGCGTAATAACACCTCCACCAGTGTAGACCATGCTAACTCCAATATTACACAGCTAGTGTGATCCATGCCAACCTTAAAAACAAAAAAGTGAACCTTAAAATCTTTCAAATACTATTAAAAGGCTCTTTAAAAGTAAAATGAGAATATTCTCTAAATGCGCACATACACACACACACACACACACACACACACACACACACGATCCTGTTGTGATCTCTATACATCTTCCTGAGAGTTATTTTATCCTGGGCTTTGAATAAACCCCTGTTAGTTATTTTATGAAATAGTTTATAAATTTTTTTCTATTTTCTACAGCTGAAATTAGATATTTTTCAAATTATATATTTGTTTCTCATATTCTACTGAATAAATATTTTTAGTTCTATTAAAGGCATTATTCTACTGACATGTATTACCGACTTTGGCATTCACCAAGTACTACTATTAATATATATTTTATAAAATGTAACTAGAGCTATGAGATATAATTAAAGTAATTCATTTTAGCCCGGCCGGTATGGCTCAGTGGTTGAGTGTCAAACTATGCACCAACAGGTAGTCGGTTTGATTCCCAGTCAGGGCACATGCCCAAGTTGTAGGTCAAATACCCAGTGCGGGGTAGGCAAGAGGTGGCCAATGGATGTTCTCTCTCACTGATGTTTCTATCTCTCTCCCTCTGAAAGTCAATAAAGAAAAAATAAAGTGATTCATTTTAATAAAGAAAACACAAAACAATTATATATATATTATGATATGACCAGATATAGAACTATGGGAAACATTTCTTTAAAAGGCTAAACTTGAGAAAGATACTAAGAATTTGTGATTAATTCTCAAAATCTAGGTCCATAAATAGTACATCTGAAATACCACTATAACCAATCCACTCAAAATAAGACTCAGGTTTGAGGGTCCTGATTTCCCCAATTCCAGCATTTATTTACTATAATGAAATTTCAGTAAAATGGCAAAATACAAGGTGGGTCAGAAGTAGGTTTACAGTTGTGAGTATGGGAAACACAAAGGTTATCCTTGTATGATTATTAATTATTGTATTATTTTCCATACGAACAACTGTAAATCAACTTTTGTTCCACCCTGTATAACAATCCCATGGAGGTTAGTATTGTAAGATTTTGACTTACATTTCAAAAGGGGTTGTATGAGGTTTTTACACTGTAGGATAATACATTCTAAAAATTAAACTTTAGTTAGAGAAGCAGACCTGTGCACTAAGAAAATAAAGCATTAAAAACTAAGTACTATTTTACATTAATCTAAACAAAGAAAGTCGGTAAATTTACCTATTAATTCCATTTAATGACTATCTTGCTTAGAATTCGATGCTTTACTTGAAGACACTGCTGCCAGAAGTCCACTTACTATTTCCCGTCTGATTTCCCCAACAATAGACTCTTTAATCTAGAATGAAAAGAGAGAAAAATCAGAATTTAGCAATATAACTATAATCCATTTCTTGTTTTCCCAAAAAAACATAAATAGCACTTCATGTCTGTGACCATCTAACCCATAAAGACGACGACAACCTTGATGCGAACCTTCCTGCAATACAGAGGAGAGAGGGGATCACCTTCCTGTCCCGACCCCCATCAGACTTCTAGGTCTGGGTGACCAAAATTTAGACAACTATCTTATAAAATACCACATTTCTTAGGTTGAGAACATTAGAAACTGTTATTTTATAAGTGAAAAAACTTCCTTTAAATAATTTGCTTCATGACTCAAAATACCCTGGAAGGAGTTCCTCCTGAATGCCCACCTGTGCACGGCAGTCAGCAGGGTGCTCAGTGCTCATTGTCAGAAAACCCATTACAGGCAGAACAATATACAAGTGTACTGTCTGTTTATACCAACTGCATATAACTTCTAAAGAAGTTATATGTTGTTCTAAGTGTAACAAGCACATTTTAAGTGGAAAGAACTGATCATTTAGCACAGATTATTTTAAAACATGAAAATAAACAACCATAAACTTCAAAAATAATTTTTTTTTCTTTTTTTTAGTTGTACGGTATGTTTATTGCCTGTCTGAAACTTGAGCTTCAGATAAGAACATACATCTCACTTTATTGGTGGAAAAGGCAAACAGACCTAGGGGCAATGACAATTCCATCAAGATTTTCTTTTCCAGATGCCCAAACAGTACATGCCTATTCATGCCTTTTTCTCTCTTATGCTATAGCATCACCTTCAAAGAGCCCTCTGTAAAGACTTCAAATGTGTATTTCCTAAAATAAACTGATAATGCCTTCCTAAATTAGCACTTGAGACTCTCAACCAGCTTTTTAAAATTCTACATTTCCATAGTTTCCTGTCAGCCTGATCTATTTCCTAAAATGTTTCTAAGTACATCCTGAACACATTTCAATTGAAGTCTTTCCAAAAATAGCTCTGTATTAATCTGTCATGCAAAATTGGTACACACAATACATAGATTTATATGAACATAAGTATACATAGAAACAAACGCTCCTTAGCTACCAAACCATCATCACCCAGAATATATTCAAAGAAATATAAGCTTCTCATTTTACCTTCTACCAATATTCTAAACTTTAAACACCATCAAAAGTTTTTGAAGATCATAGCATTTCAGGTTCATTTTTTTATACAAATATGTGTTAGACACAAATATTATGAAAACCAGAATCTTAGCCACAATATATAAGCACAAACACAATGTGTTTTGAATCAGAACCACTGCAAATCTGTATTTATGAGACAATGAGTAGTATAGTCTTTCCAGTTTTGTTGTTCAATGCAATAAGGCATTTTATTAAATCTCGTCATTCTTCATCATTCAAAAACAAACTTGTCAAAAAGTATTCTTTACAAACCAAAAATGTGTGCCAACATATCTGGGGAGCACAGACATTTCTGGAGTAAAGCATGAAAGTCTCCACCATCAAGGCTGCCATGACTTGGATGGACACAAAATGAATACTCTTTCATAAACTACTAAGAGAAAAAATTATTTATTAATTCATTAATGACATAAGAACAGAACAAATTTTGAAAAATAAGAGCTAGAAGAAGAGAAAATGAAAAATTCTCAGAGAAAGGTGGACTGGAAGGCAGCAGCTCATGAAAAAGGAAAGATGATTTCACGTGACAGTGAGAATAGAAAACTGTAGCAAGAGCACCCTGGATGAGAGGGTTCGAGCAAAAATTAGCCTGTCTGACAAGACAGTTCCTTCTAGGGAGTGGAAAGAAATGAGAATAGAAAGGGTGAGGTCAAATGGAGGGTGTTTACTGTGAGCTACTTCAGGGAGAAGACTGAGTCTCATTTATCAACGTATCCTGGTGCAAAATAAGTGCTCAATAAATGTGTGAATGAATCAATGACAGACCGAGAGAGACAGAGGGAGAGAGCACAAGAGTGAGAGACCATTTCACACATAAAAAGAAACAGAAAGTAGAAAAACAAAGGACTACAGACTAGTACTGAAAACGATAAAATGCCTTTAACAATGTATTGAAGGAAGTAAAGTATGGACAAATAAATTCATTCTAAAGTCCCCCAAACTACAGAGAGGTTGGAAGGGTTAGGAGTGGGAAAATGCTACTGGGGTGGATAGTCAAATTGCATTTTCAAGAACACAATTTCCAAAAAGTGATATAGGCTGAAGACAGGCTACTGGAGATTAAGAAAGGAATGCTCACTGGCAACACAAACAGACTGACTGCAAGTCTAAGTGTGGGGCAACACATCTATTGAATATGCATCTACTGAGTGCCAACTTCGTGGCAGCCATTCTATCAAGCGATCACTAACAAAAGTTACAGTAACAACACAATCAAGTTGGGGATTTAACAAAATACATGTCTGAAGCATGTCAGATGAACTGTAATGAAGATACTAAAAGGCATGAATCAAGCCTAGGAACTTCAATAAACAAAGAATAACTCTCTAAACACAAAGCCATCGATGTTTAAGCTTTGATGTTTAATTCTGTTGAATTTGCTACTGTGGGGGCACATGTTAATTCATTCTATTCAGTAATCTTTTTATTTATTTACTGTCTTTTTTTTTTTTAAGGAACTAAACAGTTTCAGGCCACTGATGACATGCATCACGGACCACCAGGGCAAATTCCACGAGAATGTACTTTCCCCCACTACCACACACACACTGCACAGGAAAGGGGTGTCTTCACTCTGACAAAAGCTTAGTTATTGCGCGAGTGTATTAAACATTTGTCTGAAAGGACTTCCTTTCAATTCTGTCCTTCAAAAGAAGAATTCTGTTGTATTAACATTATCAATAATGAAAGCATTCTTTTAAAAAACTTCATATATGGTGAAGTGATGGAAACAAAGGCTGACAGACATCCTTGTTTTCATGCACCCATGAGTGAAGTAAGAAAACTTCCCTGAAAGTGTCTGCCAAACATGCCTAATCCTCACCTGCAAGACTGTTCAACACGAGCTCAAAGCTTGCTTCCTGAATAGTGGCTTTGATAATGGGGTCAGGGGCCCAGAATTCACTGGGAAGACAGAATCTAATTTAATTTTCTTGGTAGCTGATACAATAAACTTAAAAAAAAAAATTGGAATTCGGTACCAAATGTATTTAGGTAAAGAGATTATGGATTTGAAATAATTGGAATCGAGACTAACCTGAATTTTAAATATTTTGTAAACAAAATTTAACAGAATATCATTCCAACTGAGCTAAGATGATATTAATACATTTCTTAAAAATTATAAATGGCAATGGACTAATTTATCAATTAATATATGCTTTAAAATGCTTCAAAATAGTTAATTTTCTTAAGTACACAAATACTCCTCTTTCACATTGTTTGATCTATACATCTTGTTTGATAAGTCATTCTTTTTAGACCGTAAATGGATAAATGTTAAGCCCATATTTCCTCCAAACTATGCCAAATACTGAAATTTGGGAGTGTCTAACAGTTTTAGTAACAAATTCTGAAAAGTTTTGGAAATATGTGCCTTGCATGTCAGTTGAAATGTCTTCAAATGATAAAATCTTCTACATTTAATGGGCAGTTCTTAGAGATGTTTAAGTAATTCTCTGGAATCAAGAGAACAACCAACTCTCTATACCCTACGTTCTGAGTCTGACTCGAGGCTCTCGTCTAGGAATGATTTACTCCAAGGAAAGTACTTACAGCACACATCAGCCACCCATTAATCACTTTAAAAAGGAGGACTCAAGTGTGCATTAGGGAGCATTTGTGACAAATTAGTAACATAAAGTTGAGTTTTCTAGGAAAACTTTCAAACTAAATCAAGCTAACAGGAACAAAAATATTCACATTTCTAAGGGGGGAGGGGGAGTAGCTTGAAACTTACTTCCTCAGTTAACAAATAATAGTGTGAAGAAAAACAATTACTTAATTTCACTGAAAAATCTACTTTGACATAAAACATAAATAAAAGGAGATGGTAATAGGTCGCACCTGACCTAGCAAGCAGCAGGGGCACAACTCTATAACCCATAGTCAGCCACAGCCCACTTACAAAAGCAATCACACCTGTAGGACAAAAGACCTTTCAAACTTGAAGGTAATGTCAGGGAAAGAAATTACATACATCCAACCTCTCCTGCTATAATGCTTGTTCTGAAAATGTCAATTTGTCTCAAACATGACTAAAGTATTAGGAAACAACTTGGTCTCCCTTTTAAAATATATATACTATTCCTTCTTAGTACCTATTCCTAGTGCCCAACACAGATGTTTTGCTAATTTTCTTAATTAACTTTTGACCTTCTACTATTCACCTTCCAATTTTTAAAAATATGTTTTTATTGATTTGTCTAGACAGAGAGGAAGGGAGAGATAGAAGCATTGATGTGAGAGAGACGCATCAATTGGCTGCCTCCAGCACGCCCCCTACTGGGGATCGAGCCTGCCATCCAGGCATGTGCCCCGACTGGGAATCGAACTGGGACCTCTCAGTCCATGGGACGATGCTCAGTCCACTGAGTCACACCGGCTGGGCTTCACCTTCTTAATTTTTTGCAGTGATTCTGGTTATTAGAACTATGGTTAAATGCTTCATGTTGCACACTAATTAATATCCTCCAGGGTAAACCTTTTTATTCTGTATTTCTATCTTTGAACAAGTCATATAATTTCCATATTTCTCCATCCACTAAACCAAACAGATCAAATTATTTATACTGACTATAAATGGTGTCACAACACCATTTTCTCATGAAAAAAGACATTATAAAATGACATTATAATATCCTGGAAGAGATCTAAATTGTAATCTCTCACTTTACAGATGCAGAAACAGAGATCTGAAGAGTTTGTCACATGTTTATCTATTTCAAACTCAACAAACACCTTCTTCACTGAATAATACAGACTTGCAATTATTTCATACTGTAGTATAAAGTCGACAGAAATGCTATTACAGATATTACAAAAACATCTTAATAGACATAAGCTGGACCAAAGGGGTTAATTTAAAAGCTCTATGAAAATGACTGAATACAGTGAATCAAAGGAATACCTTAAAAATAATTAATGTTTTGCCCTGGCCGGTTTGGCTCAGCGGTTGCAGCGTCGGCCTGCGGTCCAGAGAGACCCGGGTTCGGTTCCCGTTAAGGGCACGTACCTTGGTTGCAGTTTGTCCCCAGCCCTGGTTGGTCGTGCGGGTGGCAGCCACTCGATGTGTCCCTTCACATCGATGTTTCTCTCTCTCTCTCTCTCTCTCCCTCCCTCCCTCCCTCCCTCCCTCCCACTCTATCTGAACAAAAAATGGAAAAATGTCCTCGGGTGAGGATAAAAAATAATGATAATAATAATAATTAATGTTTTAAATAAAACCTCCTCCAAACATATCACCAAATAAATCATTAACCGTGGATTTTACTCACCTCCCGTATGACTTGCTGCAACTCATCTTGCTCCACATTTTTATGCACTTCCTCAGCAGCTGGCATCAATGGGATTTTTCCACACCCTTCTTCCACTTCAGATTTAGGTCCTACAGCCTCTGAAGCTTCTTCAGCTGCACCAACTTCCTCAGAGCTTTCCACTTCTGGAGGCGTTTGCACAGAGCCTGTTCGAGAAGGAGCCGTCGGTGTGAGGGCCACTGAGGCTCGGAACACTTTCTTGCTCGATACCCGATGGGTCTTGGGTTTGCGTGCTGAGTCACTAGAAGATACTCCAGTTCTTCTGTTAGGATGAAAGGGACTAGAACATGCAGACGACGACTCAGAAGTTGCTTGGGAGAAAACAGATTCTGAGCTTTCTCCAGGAGGAATTTCAAATCCCGTATCTCCAAGTGCCAGACCTAGTTCCGACTTCAGATATGACTGTTCCCGCATCAGTTCAGTGACCTGGAGATCAGAAAAATTGTAATTCTTCTCTCTTGAAATTAAGATTGGTAGTTTAAAAAAAGAATCAAAGTCCTAGCTGGATTGCCAAAAGTCACTTAAGTTGTAAAGATATGATTTAATTCATTCATTTAGTAACTACTCAATCTAAATTCATAGTGAAATCAAGCTGTAAAAAGTGCAACTAGAATATCTAGCTGGATAACATTTGTTACCACATAAGTGTTCGAGGAAGAGTAACTAGTGAAAAACAAAATAGCTACTTAGGCTTTTGCCCCCCAAAACTAATTTGTTTAACGTAAAAAAAATCAGCCTTTTGTTCAAATAGTAGTCATCTTATAGACCCAACTACTTAAAGAATCTGAAATCAGACTGTAAAAGAACATTTCCCCTGGAGTATAAAGTAAATACGTTTATGATGGATTAACTCCTTTAGGCCATAAAGATAAATCAACTACGCAATAAACTGGTTTTCCAGCAGCCTAAGGTGGCAAGAGACTGCCAAACTCACTTCCAATTTAAATAACTTATCGAGTTCTGTGTTTAAGAAAACACTCATCTACAGGAGGAATGCTGTGTGTCATTTGCCCCCTGTGACTTAGGAGGAGAGAGGCTTACTGGTTCCATTACGTTCAGTGGAGACGGGCAGGACAAGTTGTCAGCACTTCTACTGCCATACAGACCCTGAAGAAGAAAGAACAATATACGTATGTATGCACAGTTTTCCAAACTGCAACAGTTTTATAATAAAATAAACTAGCTAATTATTACCCCAGAGCACAAAGTCCACCCTCAACTGTCATGGGATCCTATAAAATGTGCTGCTGTGATGGAAGGTGAGTACATAACACCTGCTGTCACCAACACGCATTTCTCAGAGTAATGGATTAAAGCCTTCTCTGGAAAAAGATATTCATTAATGATACAGAATATTCTTATTCTACGCTATTCACACATATGTGTACACACACACACACATTCCTATTCTATTGCTTCTACCATATGTTTGTATATATGTGTATGTGTGTGGTAATTATCCATTTATTATACAAAATCAAAAGGTTGTTCAGGTAACAGAGAAAGGGTCACTATCTCACCATTTCAAAGCAATATATTCTACAACTGCAAAGGTGTCGGCAAAAATAAGACCACAACTGCCTTGGCCGGTTTGGCTCAGCAGTTAGAGCGTTGGCCTGCGGTCCGGAGAGACCCGGGTTTGGTTCCCGCTAAGGGCATGTACCTTGGTTGCAGTTTGTCCCAGGCCCCAGTTGGGGTTGTGTGGGTCAATGTGTCTCTCTCACATCGATGTTTCTCTCTCTCTCTCTCCCTCTCACTCTATGAATGCAAAAAGTATCCTCAGTGAGGATTAGAAAAAAAAAGTAAGACTACAACTACTGAAGTTCAAATTTCATTCAAAGAAACATGAGAAGTATAAAAAATGGTAGTTTTAAAAGTATAAAGTGTTTCTTTTTATTCTCTTGGTTGTATACATTTTCTGCCTTTATAAAGATCTCATTTGACTCCTTAAAATTAAGAATAGAAAGAATCCAAAATAAAAGAAAAGCTTAAAGAAAAGTTATTTACTCAAAAGCAAAAAAAGGGGGGAAAAAACTGAGTGAAATATATATATCATTTTCCCTTAAAACCCCTGAACTTCTGTATTGCTGCTTATTCTTTATTATTAAAAATTATTATTACAATTTTTCAATGTAGCCCGGCCGGTGCAGCTCAGTGGTTGAGCGTCAACCCATGCACCAAGAGGTCACTGGTTTGATTCCTGGTCAGGGCACATGCCCAGGTTATGGGCCCAGTCCCCAGTGGGGCGCATAAAGGAGGTAGCCAATCGATGTTCTCTCTCATGAATGGTCCTATCTCTCTCTCTCTCCCCCCTCCTCTCTCTAAAAATTAATAAAGAAAAAAAATTTAATATATACTAAGTATTGAAGAAAATAATCACAATGTGTACATTCAACTGATTTGGGGACAAGACTCCTTACAGAGTTTGCATGCCTCTAATGCCATTAACAAACACATTTTTAAGTTAAGGCATTTGTTTTAAATGACATGGAGCACTATAAGCAAATTCTCACTAAAGCTACGAGCACACCCGGGTACCGTACCACAAGTGCCGCGGAGGGGAAGGAGGAAGGAAGGTGCCTGGTGCGCAGCTGCTCCTCCAAGCCCAGCAGACGCTCCTCCAGCTGCAGCTCCAGGTCTTCAAGTTCCATTCGGACTGAATTTCGCAAACTCTGGAGCTGATCAACTTCATACCTATCGGTATGGGGACAGGCACAAAGTTTGAATAAAGCAGTCGCAAATTCAGTCACGATTCTCTCACCAGGTAGGAGAATGTGGTGAAATTCCAAGTTCTAGAAACTGGCACAGTAGAGATGCAATAGGCGTAACCACCAGGACAACTGGTCTTTTCCCCCCACCTTTCTCACAAATGTCCTGAACACTGAAAACGGATGACAGCCACTACCTTCCTTCACTCACGGAAGGCAGGGATGTTCACTTAGGAACTTTATTTACACTGGTTCACAAAACAGGTAAAGGGTACACAGCAGTAGAAATACAACTCAGCTTTAAAAAAAAAAAAGTTTGACAGTACTTTGTAGAATAAAGAACATTTTGAGTTACGTTAAGACAAACTTTTACCTTTCCTCCTCAGTCATGTGATGATACACCATGGTCTGCTGACGTAGCATCGCCAATTCTAAATCCATCATTTGTGTTCTGAACAAATTCAGGCTCCGTCTCATCACCTGGAGCTCCTGAAAAGTATTCTAAAATACAATGCAACAAAATTACACTTCTAGACACACAAATTATTTTGCATACAATGATTTAAGTGAGAACTTACTTCATAAAGAGGTAGAACAGATGGTTTCTGAGGGCTGTAAGGAGCAGCAGCAAGGTCAGGTCCTCTCATCATGGGGTACTTCAAAAAAGTGAAGGTATGGTTACAGATCAATGTCAAAGTGACTATTTCCAAATAATCTTAAGTGCTAAAAATATGCATTTAAGGCCTCTGTATCTTTCTCTCTGAGGCAAAAATAATAAAAGCAAACTTCATATTGTAAGCAAGAACCGAATCAGTCAGTCCCCTCATGCTACTGATCACTCCATCTCTTTCAGGTATCAGTCTACTTGGAACGAGGCTGAAGCAAAGGATCCAGTTCATCTACGCCTTATAGGACTTTCCTCTTGGCGTGAGAAAGCAGACAAATAAAACTCAAAGATGTACAAGCAGCCCTAGTTGGTTTGGCTGAGTGGTTAGAGCGTCGGCCTGCAGACCAGAGAGTCGTGGGTTTGACTCTGGCCAAGGGCACGCACCTTGGTCGCGGTTCGTCTCCCGCCCTGGTTGGGGTCATGTGGGAGGCAGCCAGTCGATGTGTCTCTCTCACGTTGATGTTTCTCTCTCTCTCCCTCTCCATCCCTCCCACTCTATCTGAAGATAAATTGAAAAATATCTTCGGGTGAGGATTTAAAAAAAAAAAGTAGAAGCATTAGCAAAGTCATTCTAAAATAAAAGAACTATTGACTTGGATGGAGAGAGTAGCAGTCCATCATCACTGCTCATTCTTAGACATTTGAGCATCTACTATATGTCACTATTTTAGGCAGTGAAAAAAAGATAAAAGAAAGATAAATGGCATTCCCTTTTCAGTGTTCTTATGGTGTAAGAAAGAAATAATAGAGAAATTTAAAAATTATACTACTGGGTAGAGGGGAATGCTATGATGGAAACACAAAAATCCGGAGTAGGGAGCATGCATTCCCAGCAGTGTGGACACGGAGCTGAGCCTTAGCAGTGAACAGGACTTGGTCAGGCAAAGAAAGGCAAGGGCAGGCCAGTCCAGGTTTTAAAAAGATTTAAAAAGAGTGGCATGTGTGAAAACAGATACCTAGAAGTGCATGACTATTTAGGGGCCTGCATGCAATCCAGTAACAACAGGAGCACACACATAAGGACTAAGTCCGGAGAGAGGCAGAGCCCAGGTCATGGAGAGCATCTGTCTACTCAGGTGGGGAGTGGAAACCAGCTGGCTGAGTTACTGATGGGACATCCAAGGGGAGAAGACCACACCCAGGGCGGAAGAACAAGCTGGCCTGGAAAGAAAGGCGGAGGTAGACAGGGCCCTGGGAATCCCCGGTTTCACACAATTACAGTGGAAAGGTTAAATGCCTCATTCACAGACAGAACTACGTTTTGTAAAGAGGAAAAAAAAAAAAAACACCCACATTCTGGTTAGATGGAAATCATTAGATTAACTGTCATGAGGATAAAATCTATATTTAAAAAAAAAAGTGTACTACTACATAACTTGAAAAGCTACAACTTCAACTTTGACTTTCCAAGTGGCTTCTTGTCTCCCGTCATGATGAGAGATCTACTACATACACTCCAGGCCTCCCGGACACTGACCACTGCACACTCCACTGGCTTCCTTCCTCTGCCTGAATTTAAGTCGTTCAGAAAGAGATATATAAAGAAAAGGTGAAATATGAAAGGCAAACCTTAGGCCAATTTACTTATTTTCGAAGCTTTCTAAGGAGAATTATTTCCAGCCCACAAACAGTTCTGGGAGGAGTGACTTTAAGTGACGAGACACACACCATTTTTACTCAAATTCACATTTTACCTGATGTTTTCCTTTTCTGGGGAAGTTTCAGCCTGTGAGCCCAGTGGAGGCAGACTAACTCTTGCCAGGAGACGAGCATCGGGAGGCAGGGTGGGGGAGCGTGGGCAGAGAGCTACGAGCAGAGCCAGAGCACGGCAGCACTGAGGCCAAGGGGACGGACACTTAGGAGGAAGGGTGGTGGACACTGTCAGACGACGGAGAGAAGGAGAGAAAGTACTTGAGAGGGGAGGCTGTTTGAATAATAAGGACAACTTAAGACAAAGACAACGGAGCAGAGGCTAAAGGAAGGAAGGATACCTCATGGGCAAAATCTCTTCTCTGGAAGGGAGACTGTGAGCAGACATGAACCTTGTTCAGCCTTCGTCACAGCCTCTCCTGAGACAGGAGGGAAGAACACAGGAGGAGGGCAGGTAGAGGTAATTTAGACATGGAAGAATATGAAGCTGAGGAGGTTCATGCCTCGCGGGTTTCAGCTTCTCAGTGAATTAAGAGGGGCTCAGATCATTGAAAGAAAAAACAACGTTCAGAAACATACACTTGTTCTCATACCTGTGAAAGATTCTGCAGTGAGTTTCTGATATCGTGCAACACTCTTCGCAACTGCATTTCGATGGCAGAAGGAGGGTTCACAGAGCCTGCTCGGTAAGGCGAGGCAGCATGTCTATGTGAGTAAGCACACCCCAGGGGAGGCGTGAAGGCACTGCAGGTGGCACCGGATATGTTGGGGACACTGCGAGTGCTCAGAGTCCTCATGTGCTCACACAGGGGCCGTTCCTGCCACTCGGAGTGAAGCGAGTGAAGGGAGCAGGTGGACTGAGATATGAGTGCTGGCGCACACAGGGAACAGGAGGGAGTCCTCAGATGATGACACTCCTCCAACGGGCTCGCCTCTCTCGGAGGGACTTCTTCTTTCTTCCCAGAGGATGGAGAGATGAAAATAGTGGATTTAACTAAAGACTGACCATCATGCTCAATCACCTCTTTTTCTAACTTCTGTTCCTCTTCAGGTGTGTACTTGTAGGTGAAGGAAGGTGGACTGCATCTGGTCTCTTTTCCTGGGGACAGTCGAACATTGACAGACGACACAACCTTCACTGGGCTCAGCAAGGTGGTTGGTAAAGACTGAGACCTTCTGAGAGGGTAGCCAGCTTTTGCAAGTAAGTACCTCTGTTTTAACAGGTCTTTCGATTTTATCAGGCTACGCCCTACTCTTTGATTAGACAGACCGCAGATCTTCATTTGAGCTCTCTGCAAAGCTGTGTTAACTCTGTCCACAGAAGAGGGAGGCCCCGTATTATGTTCAGAGCCCTTCTCGCCGCCTTTAGCGTCAAGAGAAGCCAACGACTTAAGAATATGGTGTGTGGTATACTGCACAAACTCACACTCCGTGCTTCTGTCCACATCGCTGTCCGCGCTCGCTTCCCGCTGCAGTTCCTCTGGCTGTTCTGGAGACGCATCTGCTTTCCTTTCGGTACCTTCAGGACCCGGCGTCTCCCCCCCACAGGTGGGCTCTCCCTCTCCTGGCTTCTCAACAGTCCCGCGCTGGGGGGAACCCTGGCTATCTGACCCTCCTTCATCAGCAGCTGCTGCCGCCTTCCCACTTTCCTTCTGCGGAGGAACAAGGAGCTCCTTCTCGGCCTCCTTGGAGTGCGGCTGGCCTTGCGCGGCTGGTGCGGCAAGGTTTTCACCAGAGGAAGTGACGGTTGTCTCACTGTCACAGCTGTCGGCGCTACTCCCCATGGCTTGCAGCGGTTCGTGGACCTGTGCAAGGAAGACGGTGGAAGAGCGAGAAACTCAAAACAGTCCCATGAATGAAATGCCAAAGAGATATGATGCTTCTGTACTGTCAGGGTCTCCCACCTCCGCTGTGACCGGATGCTGCTCAAACTGCTCTTACTGCCCCAAGTCAGCACCCCTCCAATGTCCTTCTAGGTCATTCCAGACCTTTACTGTTGTCCTTCAGTTCCCTTCTCAACACCCATCTCATTTTCTGCCAGCACATGACACTGACTCAGAGAAAATGGCAAAAACTGGCTCTCTTCCCCCACATCTCCACACCTCTTCCCATCATTCCCTCCTCTTCATTCTGAAAGGAAACTCTTTTTTCCAAAATGAATTCTTCCAACCTGTCCTTCTGATCACATCCTCTCCAAGAGTAGGATCTGTCCCCAGTTTCATACTAGATTTCTCTGCATCCAACTCTCTTCTCTTAGGGCCCTTTCCCTAACAACTTCCCTAAGTCACTGCTGCGCGAGCAACACAAAGACCTATCGCCCTTAAATTATCGTCCTTATTTGAAAAAAGTTAACATTCGTATCTTCTCTTCCTTATTATCAATTTACTCTCCAATTGTGCTTCTGCCTCATTTACTGCATCAGAACTATTCACTCAACTACTTCATTTCCAAACAACCAAATTCTCATCCGATGGCCACAGCTATCCTTTGGAAGGTTTCTCCTCCATCTCCCAACTTTTATGCCCAGTGGATTACTTTTTCTGAGTCTCCTTAGACACTTCTTTTATATGTCCACCCCAACGCTGTTTCTAAAGGCTCTTTTTGGGGTTCTCTTTTCTCTTATTCCAATTTTCTTTAAAATTTCCATATAGGCGTTTTACACACTTTTTACATACATTCTGTGTACTGCATACAGGCTATGTGCTTAACTTCTGGGTAATCTAACACCCTCTCACATAAAAGTCATATGATAATCACCAAGCTATGGACCCACACTTAGTGTTAGTTACTAAATACACAATTCCTGGAAAATACTAAAACACAATGATGGTCAAAATAAAAGTAAAAATAACAGATTAGGTTAATGATTAAAATAACCTCTGTTTACTGATGGTCCAAAAATAAAGAATTTTTTTTTTTGCTGTTTTTAAATATTCAGCCAGAGAGAGATGAAGAATTAGTGAAACCTAGAATTTGTAGTCTAATGCTTAGATTACATCTGCATCCCAGAAAAAAGTTTTATTGTTACTGTTATTTGAAAAATAAAGGTATCACAGATTGGGTCTTGAAATATACACCTACTAAAAAAATCACCTGAATATGAAGAAGTTACTCACAGTACCTACTTCAGTAGGAAATTTTACCTGAAGATGATTAAGGGAGACACAGTCTGTGGGGTCTTCAGCAAAGCCACTGCTATCAGAATGCTGGCTGGCAGTACGTAACAGCTGATCTGCCAAAAGAAACGCAGTTATACGACACTGCTGAACAGGACTTCCATGAGAACGATGTTACAACACATATGCGATTCCCAGCAGACACAGGGTGCACAACATGTATTCTGTCTTAGAAAAATACGCAGCAACTATGCAAAACTGTGGCTTCAACGCATAGGAGTTAAGTCAAATTCAAACAAAAACTGAATCAGATCTACCAGAAATTCTCAATGTTCGGGTGCTAATTAAGCTCTAATTATAATGTATTTTTGTATGTCCAATTAATGTCTTATTCTTAGAGGACAACTTCTTGCAACAAAAATAGCTCTAAAAAAATAAAAAAACCCAAATAAACCATTTCCATTATTAAAAATGTAAGGGTGACATATGTAAATATGCAGTAGGTAAAATTAGAAATTTAAATGTAATTTATAAAAACTTCAATTATCTTCCTAATAAGAAAATAAAAATATAATTAAGACCCATAAGTTAAGTAATTTTTATGCAGGTACCTAAATGTCAAACATTTGCAAGCATTCGTAAATTATTAAACAATTTTTTTCATAACAACTGCATAAAACTCAGTCAAATAGGTGCAACTAGTACATAATATTGCTAATCTTATAAAAACCATGTTTAGTTTTTGGTCACAAAACTCTAATTCCCAGTTAGTAGAACCTAAAAAAACACCATTAAGTAAAAAGGCTAACTAAGTAGAACATGCAGAATCACACACCCATCCACACTACAAGTACCATAGTTGGAGAGACTTCACAACTTTCATTTACTAAGGGAGATGCTTCCTGAGATAGTCAAGTTGTGTAGAACTTCAAAACTAACATGCTAAAAAAAGTGTGCTCACCAAATCCACGTTCATTGCAGATTTGAATGATAGAAATAAGAAACTCTACAATATGTTTGAACCAAATCCAAAATCAATTAAAGTGTGCCTGACTTTGAAAAATATCCCAGTTTCCTCAGTTTCAGCCTAGAGCATCATGGGATGAAATAATATTTTTTTCTCATTAATAATCTAGAATAATTCTGTAACATCATTTGGGAGTTAATAAGACTGAATAATGAAATATAAGAAACTGCTCCGTATGCTTGATAAGTCTATGTAAACTGCAATAATTGTGAAAATGAATTGGAATCAGCTGTTAGTTACCATAGGTACTTATGCATTATATTAAGAAAACAATTAACATCTTATGTTACAGCAGTTATCACCTTAATTATGTATTTGTATGTCTTTTTTTTTAACTACATTGTGAGCATTCTAAAGACAGGAACCTTATTCATTCTTCTTTGTATCCCAGTATCTAGCACAAGCTAACAATAAAAAATGTTCACTGAATGACCCTGGCTGGTTTTGCTCAGTGCCTGCAGACCAATGAGTCGTGGGTTCAATTCCGGTCAAGGGCACATGCCTCAGTTGCGGTTCATCCGAAGCCCTGGTTGGGGTTGTGCAGGAGGCAACAAATCGATATGTCTCTCTCACATCGATGTTTCTCTCTCACATCAATGTTTCTCTGTCTCTCCTCTACCTGAAGATAAATGGAAAAATATCCTCGGGTGAGGATTTAAAAAAAAATTTTTACGGAATGAATCAATGATAACTATCTCCTTAAAACTACAGTGGAATTAAGCAATCACTTAAATGTTTAGAAGTGACATTACCTATCTGGTTGGGCAAAGGGCAAGCTGCCCGAGAGTGCAGGGAAGCCTGAACCAGCTACACTCAGGTTGTCTGCTAAGGTCATTTCATCTGCTGTGGAGCCCAGTCTGTGCTGAGTTCACCCGTCCGTGGTTAGCCCTGTCTGAGTTAAGCAGGTCAGGTCAAAGTGTACACTTCTCAGCCTTCAGAGCAGGTGTCAGGCAGAGGAAAGAACAAGGAGGCCCGAGTTTAAGCTCTTGCTTTATTTCTGTAAGCAATAACTTCTCTCCTCTGCAAAACAGAATAACAATTCTATCTATCTCACAGGCTTACTTAAGGAACTAAGTAAAACTATTCTGTAACCTGTAAATCACAATCTAGGTTCTTGAGTCAGACATTTCAGTTTCACAGAAAGCACTGCTCTCCACAGAAAAAGATGGAACGAAAAAGAAAAAGACCTCTGTCCTAACAGAAGAGGTAAGCCATTTCTCATTAAAAACTGGGAAGGTAGCATAAACTAATTAAAGTGAGAACAAACAAAACCTGGACATTTTATTTGACCAGTATCAGAAAGAAACAAAACAGAACACCTGTACACTCTGTTAGACTACAGAAAATATTGTTTCTCTTCGGTAATAAGGAAAATTTTGCCCTGCTCTCAAAATATTTACAGAATGTTAGCTTATGACATGAGATGAGTCACTAAACCTCTCTGGGCTTCAGTATGTAAATGCCAAGACTGAATGTGATACTAAGATCATTGTAATATCAAAAGTCCTGTTGGTAAAGTGTGAAATATTTTTATACATATACTATATGCATTTTTACTAAAGTTGTAAAATATATTGCCAGTGATTAGAATTCTGCAATTACGATTAACCTAAGATACTTTCATATTTGTATTACCAAAATTTGACAGGCTATCTTAAAAAATTACTAAAACACTACATTGTTCTCTCTCATGCACTCATAAAACCATTTTATTGTCAATTTATAAAAATGTGATTCAAAAAATGTTAACATTCTGTAGATCCTTTACTTCTTTGGTTAAGTTTATTCCTAGGTATCTTAATTTGCTGCGATGCAAAACACTATGGTGTTATCTCAAAAAATTAAAACTTGAATTGCCATTTGACCCAGTGATCCCACTTCTAGGAATATACCCTACGAAGCCTGAAACACCAATCAGAAAGAGTATATGTACCCCAATGTTCATAGCAGCACTATTTACAATAGCTAAGATCTGGAAACAGCCCAAATGTCCATCAGCAGACGAATGGATAAAAAAGCTGTGGTACATATACACAATGGAGTACTGTGCAGCCGTAAGAAAGAAAGATTTCTTATCCTTTGAGATGACATGGAAGGACCTGGAGAGTATTATCCTAAGCGAATCAAGCCAAGCAGAGAAAGACAAATATCACACGCTCTCACTTATTTGTGGAATATAATGAACATAACAGTCTGAAGTACAGGGTAGTCCCAGAGACATGGAAGTAGGGTACAGACTGACAATCCCCAGAAGGGATGGGGGGGGGGCGATAAACCACAGAATTTATACACATGTACACATAACCAATGGACATGGACTACAAAGCTGGGGACAGGGCATGGAGGGAAGGGAAGGAGGGTGTCAATGGGGGGAAAAAACATCTGTAACAAAAATAAACAAAAATTTTTAACATAAAATGAAATGTATTTAATAACATGGCAAAAAAAAGTTAACATTCTTACTTATGCCACCAGAAATAAGAAACCCTATATCGATAAGAGGAAGAAACCCAGAAGTGAATACAAACCACATTCCATCTTTCCTACCACAGGAAGCTTACTCTTGGAAGATCTTAAAGTAATTATACTGTTTTTATTTAAATATATAAAATTTGCCCACATCCTAGTAATGTGGGCAAACTAGCCAAACATAAGGGATTTCAACCTTGCACAAATCAGAGAGCAAATAGCAAAAAGGTTTTAGGTAGAATGCTGAAAGTTTTGAACTATGAATCCATTCAAGAATAAGAAATATTCCATAAGCATGAGAGTGGAATGACCGACATGAAAAAAAGCTCAAAGGTGAAAGGTACTATTACCCCTTTTGACACAATATAATCCTTGTCTACCTACTTATAACAAAGATTCTTTGTTGGCTGTGAACTCTACCTTATAGCTCAGAAACACATACATTATGGACTTACAAGGGGAAGAAAATTAAATAGTAAAATTCGTTCTGTGTCTGATGAGAACTATAGTGACCTAGTAAGCGGAACTCTTGTTTTGTAGTACCATATAGCAATAAAAGAAAAATTATATGCAAATCGTCTCTTATGAAGTCATTTCAGAGATCAGAAGAAAACAAACATATAATTTCCTATTCTAGGAACATACATATGAATCTTTGCTTAAAAAAACCAGGGTGGTTCAGCATGTGTAAAGTTTTAAAAATAAACAGTCCTACCTTCAGTGGTCATTTTAACTCCTTTACTTCCTCTCTCCTTTTCTCTAAATCTCAAAAGCTTTGTGACTTTAAAGAAGAGCAGACATGCTTTTCATGTTGTAAATTAAAAGTGAAAGGAATGGATTCAAAGGTCTTTTGGTCAATAATTAATAATTCAAGAGAAAAATGGTATCTGCAGCCACTCACCTTTGATCCACAGTTTGAACTGAATTTAACTAGCTTTAAATATTACGGAGATGGTGTTTTTTGCCAGAGGCATATTCATGTATCATACCTAGGAGCCATATTAAAATAATGAAAACCCAGAGGTAGATAATATAGGTATATATTTCAATCATAGCCACATCAAAATGTAGGCTTGAATCTGTTGTTCTATCACTTCCCATCTAGCTATATGCAGAACTGAAAAATAATTAAAGGGCACAGAATTGTATCATGAGGTCATTACAGAATAAGCAAACTAAAATTACTTTATGAGCACAAAACTCTTCAAGGATACAAAAAAACCTGTATAACCAAACCATAATGAAGCATCCATACCTGTGTTCATAATTGTCATTTTACACTTTTATCTACTACAAATACTGGTGGGTAAAATTCCTTTTCCAAATCAACTGAGGGCACTTTGGTAAGGTGGTTGGGATCTTGTGGACATTGTTCTACTTACCTCTTTTCGGCTTAGAAAGACCCAGCGGGTAAGTGGCTGGAACATGAGGAGCTTCTCCCTCCGTACTTTGAACCTAAAGAAGAGTTTTAAGTAATTAAAATTCAAAGAATTTATAGCAAGGAAGAATACCTCTTAATAATCATTTATTAAACATACCAACCCAACTAAAAGGGTACAAAAGCTTCACAAGTTTAAAAATTGCAAGACACCTTATCTCAAAATTAGTATGTCCCAGATCTATGTAATAGGAGAGCAAGCTTGTAGCTAGCAAAGAAAAATGACTACATGTAGAAACGACCTCATTTAAAAAAGTTGCTATTGTATGAAAAATAGATCCATAAAAAAAGTTCTCTAAATGTTAAACTTCGAAGCGTAATGTCAGTCCCAGGAGAAATGCTAATAGGTTTACTGCAGGAGACCAGGGCATGGCTGACACACAGCTGAGGCAAGTACCAGTCCCGTAGCTTTGAAAAACAGTACATTGTGCTCCCATTGCAAAATTCTATAAAATCCCATGAATTTCTGGTATCACAATCGCTTGTGTGTAAGACTCCTTTGTCCAGACACAATTGTTCTCTTAAGACATAACTAAAACATTGAAAGATCATTAACCATAAATCCTCCCTGACACTGCGCAAAGAGATCAAACCCACAAAAGCAGTCTCTTTACACTCTTTTTCCCACCTGTACTACTACATAATTTACAAATGTTCAAATTCTTCCTTACCATACCTACCATCTATTCTAACATAACTAACTCTACACTAAGCCTGAACACTGGTGTGTTAGTGGGGAGAACACTAATTCCCAACACTTTAAATCCTATAATGATTAGTACTTAAATAATAAATAACACCCTAGTTGTTAATGTATGCAAACTAGCCAAACACATGGGATTTCAATCTTGAACAAATCAGAGAGCAAACACAAAATAGGTTTTAGGTAGAACCCTGGAAGTTTGGGGCTATGAAACCATTCAAGAAAAATAAATATTCCATAAGCATGAGAGTGGAATGGTTAACAAGAAAAAAAGCTGAGGTTAAAGATGCTATTACCTAATTTAAAAATTGGTCTAATTTGTAATATCTTTGTTCTAAACAATTCCATGAATCCAAGTTTGATTGTTTTGAAAACTGAAGGCACACTAGCCATATAAAACCATCTCCTATAAATCACATACAAAAATTGTTTCTACTATTCTTTGTTATTGAAACATTATAATATATTCTTCAAAGCAGCAGACATAAGTTCAACAGGAAAACCATTGTTTTGTGTGCAAGGAAACAAAATGCATTTTCTTTTTATATTCAACAAAGGGTCTATTATTAGTCTCTATTTAGGCCTAGCCTACTTCAAAGAGTTTTATATCAAACAGACCAGAAAAGTATAGAATACAAATGTCTCTTTAATTATGTTCTAGGAATCTCAACTTAGCTCAGCACGATGATAAAACAAAGTACAAACTCTCCTTTTTAAATACAGAATTATCACAGTCTGTTCCTTAGATTTACAAAATTAACCATAAAACAGCATGGCTTTAATGAATATGTAGCCTCAGTATACTATCCTTCAAGATGCTTCTCTATGGCAAAAAATAATCAACTGATCAATCTATTCCCTCTCTCCTTTCACCACAAACCCCAAATTGATAAAAAAGGGTTCTTCTGAAAAAGAAAAAAAAAAAAAAGCTGTGAGGGTCATATATTACTAATAACGCCAGGATCTTTTTGCCACTCACTCAGCAAAATCAATCATTTTGTTGAAGGTAGAAACAGACACTCCAGTGATAATGGCTGAGTTTTATAGCTTATTACGTTTCATTATTAGTCACAGATGTGCAACGGAAAGCAGTCATATTCAAGATGGGGTGCACCACAGAAAATTATGACACAAACACAGAACTTTGATATATGTGGCATGATTTTCCCCACTCAATGGTTTCAATTTCAGGTAGAACTCTGTCATTTGCTATAGGTTGCTGTTCATTAAATTAACTAAAGCTCAATAATGATTACAGAATTCAGTGATGGACAATGGGTGTTCATTACACTATTTTATCTAATCTTTGGGTAAGCTTGAAACTTTTCATAATAAAATTACAACACCCCCCCCCCCCCCCAAACCAAAATGACAAAATCACTTGGTTTCAGTTTGGGGATTTAAAACTGTATAATAACAGCTTTAGAAGTAACCCATACATTTGAGTTACTTCATTTTAAAAACATTGAAGCAATGTCCTGCTACCATGGTAGACACCTACTTTTTTTTATTTTTTGTATAACATCTGTCAATTTATCTTTTAGGCACAATACTATTGTATTGTATTTCACAGAGTAGCAGTATGTGGAGTGTTCTAACTCAAATAACCCTTCCTCTAGGTTTAAAAAGACCTGTGTGGCAGTTTAAAAAACACAAAAACACTGGACCTTCAGAAATTATAATTGTGCCAAATTCTTAACTGCAACATAAACACTGAAACTCCTACCTCACAGGTTTTTAGGATGATCAAATGTGATTATAAGTATTTTGAAACAGTGAAGTGGGGAAGACTTAGAACAGATCTCTCTGCCACCCTCTAGGAACTCCCTACAGGGACCCCCCCTTCCCTGCCCTTCAGTGAGGTGCTTCTATCAAAGGGAACACTACTACCCTTGGTAAGATGATGGAGAACCAAAGCTGTCAAGTAACATCAAGTGTTAGGGAGGGAAGAATGCTTCCTCATTTGTAAAAGGAGAAAACTGGAAAATGAATTCAAAGAATTCATTCTCTGTTAATTTATGGTTCTATAATTAGTTGCAATTTTCACCTCTAAAAAAAACCTTTCCAAGTTTTAAAAACACATATACATTCCCTCTCTCCTTTCACCACAAACCCCATATACATATGCATATATATGGCTTACTTTTACTATTAGGTAAATACTTTAAAAAAAAAAAAGCTAACTTGCTCTTTTAGATAAATACCAAATAACAAAACTTAGTGGTTAACTGAGCTCTGAAGTAACAGACATGGGTGCATATGTCACGTGCTAGAGTTCATATTCTATTGCAGACACAATACCTGCCTTCAGAACACATACAGTTAAGTCTGAAAGGTCAATGGGACAACTTAACTGTCAAGTATCTGACTGATTTGGAATTATTTTAACTCAGGCCAATAAATATTTTTAAAAGGCTTAAAGTAAGTACAGTAAGTCCTCACCTAACGTTGCGGATAGGTTTTGCGACTTGAAGTGAACAGTGTGTAACAAAACCAAATGTACCATAGGCTAAGTGATACAAACAAGAGTCAGTCTCCTGTGGCCACTCATCAACATCATAACAAAACAATGCTGAATAAAACAATGTTAACTGAGGACCAACCATAACAAGGTGCATTAGTTAAATCAACAATCAGTGTAAAGACAGGATTAGAAACACTTAGCAAAACTCTGGTTGCTTAAAAATTAGGTACACTTCCACTAATATCTATATTTGAATATATACTAATTTACAGAGTGACAAGACACAGAACAATCTATTTGCAGAAATATACATATAAGAGTCCTCCTTCCTCTCACATTTAAGTATGACGAATTTTTACTTTACACCTAAAAGAACAATTGCTTAATGAGTAGAATAATTTTGGAGTAACTGTGAATCACTCATATTAGTAATCTACAGCTGTACAGTTACCATGATGTATTTATTCAAAATAAACCATTTCAAAAATACAAAACTTATCCAGGCAAGTCATGAAGAATTAGAAAACTCAAGAGTATATTTTACAACTTTTAGACACACTGAAACAGTTTAAATAGACTACAAGACATTTTTTATAAGGTAAGCTGACTTAATTAAAAATAGTCTATGGCTTTTTTTTATTTCTCTTTCTTAATACAATAGTCACTTTTATTCTCCAGGGCCTGGGTCATTCCTGTCATCTATTTAACTCTCTTTACAATCAAATATTTCCTCTCTTTGCTCCTGGCAACTGTCAGATATTACCTTGCGCCTCAAAGGGATCAGGCCGCTCATGGCACAGCCGTGCCCGGGACATTTTCTCCTACCTAGCTCCCAAGGCAGCGGGCAGCTCCTCTGTTTGAAAACTGGCTTACTGAGGGAGAGGGAGTGCATGCTCTGACTTATATTTATTCCCTTTTTACAGGAAGAAATTTCCAAATGGGAATCAAACCTCAAGGGAAAGGAATCCAAAAGAAAAATAGTAACAACACTTTGAATAGGACCTAAAAGTTTGCTTCAGTAAGATTGTTCTCTTCATTTGTCACTATGATTCAAATAACGCTTGGGAGGGGAGGAAATTAAAGAAACACATTATTTCCCTTCTTTATCCATTGTTCTACAAGCTCTCTCCTTGAAGTTCCCGAAAAGATTAAAATTCCATTCCAGGAGCTTTTTATCCATATTCAAATATATCTGAAGAAGGATTCGTCATTCTGAAAATTCCCCATATTTACAATGTAGCTATGGTTGACCATATATTACTTTTTTTAAAACAAAATATTCCACTATTCTTCAACCACCAATGCCTATAATCATGTACTTCAAAAAAATGTTCAATGTCACATCATTTTCTTTCCATCAAGTGTTTTTGCCAGCAGAGGGAGCAAAAAAAAAGTCCAATCTATCATTAAAAGTTAACTTGTGGCCAAAGCGTATCTATCTAGCACTTTATAAACAATTTCAAAGACTTTTTACGTATATGGTATCAACAATTTTTTAAAACTAGAGCTCAGAATTCAGGAATTCTAGAAATTAAAAAGCAGCATGAGAGTGTCTTCTCATCTGAGTCACCGATAACAGATTCGCAAGAATCTAACAAACTGTTTACATTTTTATACTCTGCTATTGTATTAAAACAAGAAAACTGTCATATCTGTCACAGAGAGGGGCCCTAATGAAAGGCAAGAGGTTACCGTTAATTATGAGTGTTAGGACAAGTTTTGATCACAATAGTCAAAAAATAAATCAAACAATGAAATGAAACAAAAAGTTTTAATCAGCCATTTTCCAAATTCATTATAAGAAGAAATATATTAGGAATTAAACAGTATAAATATAAAAATATATGAAAGACAAAAAAGCTTACCAAAAAAGAGAAAATATTTCAAAGCTGCTCTGGCTCATTTTATTTCACTCTTTTTAGTTGGAATTAAAGTATTAAAAGATACATTCAGCCCTGGCCGGTTTGGCTCAGCGGTTGGAGTGTCGGCCTGCGGTACAGAGAGACCCGGGTTCGGTTCCCGATAAGGGCACATACCTCGGTTGCAGTTTGTCCCCGGCCCTGGTTGGTCGTGCGGGTGGCAGCCACTTGATGTGTCCCTTCACATCGATGTTTCTCTCTCTCTCTCTTCCTCTCTCTCCCTCCCACTCTATCTGAACAAAAAATGGAAAAATGTCCTCAGGTGAAAAAAAAAAAAAAAAAAAAGATACATTCAAAGACCACAAAGAGGTAAATGGCTGTATCAGTTCAGCAACAGAATTTTGCAGTGAGAAAATCTTGGCTAATGAGAGCTACACACTCACCTAAGGGGGGCATTTATGGACAAATCAATTATCCTATTTTCCAATTCCCTAATATAATGACATATGATTCTAAAACTACTGTGAGCTATTACTAAAACTATTCTGTAAGAAATTTTAAAAAGAAAAATTGCACATAATTTACAACCACAACTCTTCAGTAGTACATATATATGCCTCACTTTCCTCCTGTGTGAAATGAGGCCACCACTGCCTGCCTCCCAGACTGAGAGAAAAGCACTTCAAGGGCCCAGTACAGTGCCTGCCCCAAGGTGGGTTTGGTGCTTGATAAACTTCAATCTTTTACCCCAAGATATATAGCTCCAACTCATAAGTATCAGCTCCCACTATTCAAAAGCCCTGTTATGTGAACCTCATCAAAATTATTATTTTTATCTTGTCCAATTAAAAATGTATGTAAAGTAGCAGGATGATCACCAGGTAAAAGAAAAAAGTAACCAAACACTGCTCTTCTGGACCTGCAGGAATCCTCCTCAGTGGCCCTTCAAACCTCCTTCCTGATGTTCTCAATCCTCCCCTTCAAGTACCTGTCTTTCTGTTCTTTCCAGTCCCATACCCAAACCTATCCTCAAAGTCGTCTTCACTGAGATACATTAATAAAAGCTTGCCCAAAGGCACAGAGCAGTTTGGTGGCTGAGACAGAACTCAAACCTGTTGGATTTCAGAGCCTGTGTTTTTAACCATTTTGCAATGTTGACTTGACTATGAATATTCTCTCAGGATTTCCTCAGGGCATCAAGATCTTAAAATGAGAGAAAGGGGGTTAAAGTTCAAGTATTGTATCAGCAGTGGACGACAGAGGATCTAGAGGAGCTGATACATTGGATAAACAGTACCATAATCTTGACTTCACATATTCCTTTGGCCACTTCTTGGTTTGAGAAACACAAAACAAAAAAACCTGAAAAGTCAAAATGAGGATTTTTTTTTTCCCTCTGGTAAAAGTCTATTAGCCACCTTTCATTTTTAAAACATTGTTTGGCACTTTCCCCCCTAACTTTGTATTTGAAACAGGTCTTAGTAATGTTTTACCTACCTCTTCCATTTCAAAGGAGTCCTTCTGCGGTAGGAAATTTCTTATGGATGGGATCAGTAACGGTGCACATGGCTCTTTTTCAGCTATGGACACATGGACATTTTTCTCCTCACTGCTAGTTTCCAGCTCACTGTGGCTGGCCATGTTGACATCGCTACCTAAATCGGATCCTATACCAGATTCCTCACCCAGTTTACCATGACTTTGAGTTTCTTTACTTTGTTCACTTTCAGTTTCTTTGTTAAAATTACTGTTTGCTTCATCAGAGAGTTTCTCAATGTCAGCATTCTCTGTAATAGTTGCTGAACTAATTGATACTTCTTCTTTAACTGTAGCCAACATATAAGATGAGTCTTTCTTCTTTACAATTTTTTGAGACTTTGGGTCATTTTTACTGCCACTTTCTTCGCTCATTGAAACATTCAGAATCTTTCCTTTTTCAGTTGCTGGGGAAGAAGTACTACCTTCTCCTTTCTCTGTTTTATCAACACACAAATTTAGTTTTGATAGTGTTTTCATTAAGCGATTTGCAGTGTTACTTCGGGTTAAAGGTGGAGGTGAGTCTGTCTCTTTGTTAGAGGTTATTGAGGCCATGCTTCCAATTCTCTGCAGGGGAGTCCCAGAGACTTGGGAATATAAAGAAGAAAACGCATTGGCCACAGTTGTAAGCACTTCAATTTGACGAAAACGACCTACAAAAAAAGAAAGTGTTAATTATATATTTATATGTATAATTTTATGTTTTTCATATATATGTAGATATTAAATCATTACTATTATTCAGAATTCAAATAACTACATTTAAATAAAAAAGATCATGAAACCAGAATTTTTTTCCCCTACCGAACACTTAAAACTTCTCTACATTTACTGTGGAGATGATTTTTCACTCTAAGCACTAGAATTTCTAGTTTCAAAAATCAGAAAGAAGCACAAAGCATGATAGAAAGGACAAGGTATTGATCTACAGCTGTGATTCTGTTTTTAGGTTGTGGATTCCACTATGCCTCTTGCAAAAATTATCCTAATAAAGTACATACAAGTAGTATATATTTTATATCTAACTGAGGAAGGGTAGATGTATAGACTCTTAAATCTAATCCAAGGACTACTTAGAGATACTATTTTTGGAACTTCTGGTCAACAGAGAAAAATAAGCAAAAATACAATATGACTTAAAATTTACCAAATTAGCCATGCTATTTTAGATTTACTGAAAATCAACTAAAATTGACTTCATTTAATGGTAACAAGGCCCCTCCCCCCCTTCTTTGCTTCTAGAACAAAAGCCATCTGGAAACAGGTATAAACCTAAGGTTTTACAAGTAAATTCCACTCCACAAGGTAGCAGGTGTAACTCTGTAAAGTAGCACTTAAGTTAAGAATCTGGGAAGAGGAGAAGAATAGGTAAATTAACTTCTATAAATAGAATAATAAAATTTCAAAATATGAAAAATAGCTATTGTGTTAACCTCAGTAATTAAATCACCAGTGCTATTCCTAGAAATTAGTAAGGCTTTAAAAATAAGACCATCTTACTAAGGATGCTTTAATTTTAAAAACAATATGCTAACATTCAAAAACCTTACTCGTTAAAGCATAATTTGGGTTTTCTACTTCCATCCGTTGCATTTGAGCACTCAAAAATACTTTAATATCTATTCCTCTGGCAAATGATGATGAACTGAAAAATCTGGGAGGAATTTTTGAAGCAATATCTGGTTCATCTCGTCCAAATCCAAGATTATAAAGAATTTCTTCAGGATCTTCCTCATAAAGTTCCAACAGTTCTGAAACACTACAAAAAGAAAACAACACACCAGGATATAAAATACGTTTATAGTCCACATTACATTATAAGTACATTCATATTTCTGCTTTCCTATGGTAAAAAATTTTCCACAGCTTTAAATTATTATTTCAGTATCTTTCTACACTGTGTACTAAATGTCAATGTGATGAATAACCCTTAAAAAACTGTCCATTCTCTCAAGCTGTTAGCATTGGGGAAAAAGAGCTACCCTCTAAGAACACAGTCAGAGATTCTCTAAGGGATTCCTCACCTTATTTTTTTTGTCATTTTAAGAGATTCCCAGTAAAGCAGCTAAAACAAAACAATCAGAGGAAAGACGGAAGAATAAGGAATACAAAGAACCAAAGAAGAAATGAAAAGGGAAAGCACACTAGGAAGCTGGTAGAACTTTGGCACCAAGTGCCATTGGGCAGACCTGAGCTCCTCTGCTATCTTGGGCTGTCCTTGCAGAGGCAGTACAGGTAACAACGTGCACTCAGGAAACTGAGGGAGGAGCTTTCTTTCAACTTTTCCCTAACCACTTCCACTCAGGAAGTAGGAGGAGTAAGGTGAGTACGGGTTACATCAAGGTAACTTCTTACTCTAATTCCACTGAGACTTGCTGCGAAAAATAGGACTGTTAGAGGCAGAACTTGAACAGAAGAAAATTTCGGTTTCAAAGAAAATGCCCAGATCCTAATATAATAATTTGAATAACTGGTTCCACAGGCACATGTATTTATTTTAATATATAGTATAAAGACCTTTGGTTTAGTATGAAGAAAAATCTGTGCTTAAATATCAAGCTTTAAATCAGAAAGATTTATTGTGATTTTTATGTCAGTGTAACTCAAGACCCTAACAGAATAAAGAATTTTGGAGAGGCAGAAGTTACTCCACTATGGAGTTCCTCTTTCAAGTTGTTCATAGGGCTCAAATTAGTTATTCATGAATTCAAACAGCACTATAAACATACTTGTTGCTATTTATTTCATCTTAAATAAAAAAGAAAAAAAAAGAGCTCCTGTCAATCATGCTGAACCATGAAACACTTTGGATTCCCTTTGCTTTCAGACTATTAAGCCAAATCCAAGTTTGAAAATGTGGCAAGAGTAGGACATCTATGGCACAGTGTAACTGCAGCATAATTTCATGGGAAGTTACCTTGAGACTGTCCCACTACTTTTCCCAGATCCAGTGGAATTCATACTTCTCCCTTTCTGATGAAACTGTAGTCTTCTCTCTTTGGCCAAGATATTGCTGCTATAAACAAAATTGGATGATATAAAACCTTACTTTCCTAAATGTCCTTCACTTTTAAAAAGAAGGAAAACAAACATTTTTACATACCAGTTTTCATTTGGAGCATCAGCTTCATGGAGGTGGTTGGCTGCAAGTAAAAAGAGTAACTGTGGAGCACAACTCTCAGGGCAGTCACTACCATGACACAATCATTAAGGGAGTAAATTCGCCAGAATGTTATTGCTAAATGCCTAATATGCCAGGGTGTTTTTGTGAAATAGCAATGTAAAACTACCTCCACTGGATGTTTAAAATAAAAAGATATATAGATAACCAATCAAACTTCATTAAGTGGTAAGAAGACGTACAGTATATGTGGTATATATGGTTCTAATTATTAAGTTTAAAAGATGTTAATAAAGAGTATCTTAAAAACAAATGCATGGTTCAGCACTATTTTAATATGCAGGGAATAGTATGCATCAGTTTCTAATGTGATTTTATTAAGGCTGAAAATTCACTCCAGTTACAACCACTTTTTAATGCACATACTTTGAAAATTTCTACTCATTTCAATGTAAGTTTTCTTTTAAAATTGCCTTTCAAGATTACCCCAGACTTAAAGTTCTAAACAGATAAATGTGGTTAATGTTAAGTTTAGAGTAAGTTAAACTTACTGCATTTAACTTTTTAGACAAACGTAAAGAAAATTAATTTAAAACACCTATTTCGGCATATTAATTTTTTTCATTTCTGATCTGCAAAATCATAATTTCTTTTCTTTGTACATCAACCGGAAAGATCCCTAACACATATCAACTCAATAAATATTTACTGAATGAATGAAAATAATTTTCAGTAAAACATAACTCCACTCTTTTCTGGGACACCCCTTTAGGGTCTGGTTTCCTATAACATCATTCAATATGGATGAACAGCAGAGTACAGAGGATTTTTAGGGCAGTGAAAACATGCTATATGATGTTATAGTGATGGCTATATGTAATTATACATATATATATATATACATATATACATATATATATATATATGTTTGTTCAAACTCATAGAATGAACAAGACCAAGAGTGAATCCTAATGTAAAGTATGCACTTTGAGTAATTATGATGCTTCATTGTAGGTTCAACAAATGTACTACTGTGGTGGGGAATGTTGATAAACGGGGAAGCTATACATAAAGGAGACAGAAGTACATGGGAAATCTCTGTACCTTCCCCTCCATTTTTTTGTGACCCTTGCTCTAAAAAAATAAAGTCTTAAAAAATAATTTCATATTTCGAAGACACTACTAAGACAAATGTCAGTGTTATTTACAGTAATACTGAAATGCATTTAAAAATGGGCTGACAACATGCTCAACTGTACTGATTGGAAAGCAGTAAGTTTAAGCTCCTTACACAGAGTTTATTCCTTGAGAGCATATTACCAGTGATAATAAAAACTAACATATTCTAGACTTTTCAATATTTACTAGAAGGTTCTAAACCATACATACAGATTGATTTAAAACAGCAAAAGATCAAGGATATTAAATTCAGTGGATAAATTCACTAGTCATCAAATTACAATTTTAAAAGATTTAATAAAATCCTTAATTAACGTTTTTATAAAAAGCATGCTATATATAGCTACCAATAATCTTAAAATGCCAGTAAAATTATAAAATAATAAATTCTTAATTTTACATTGTAGAAAGCTTTGTTATGAACCCACAGGAAAAGATCATATAATCTGTGAAAATTTAAACACAGCCCAATACGCCTAAAATGCTAATGCAGTCTGGAATACACATCAGCATAATTATTTCTAATAAAATTCTAGTAACTCTATTTTGTCTTTATCCTTTAATCTCCTAAAAATCTGGAAAAAGAGGAAGAGGGAAAGACGGGAGACACTTGAATGCAAAGAGAAAGACAAGCCGCAGCTGTAAGTCTGACATAAGGCTACCTCATACTAAAAATAAGCTTCAATTTAGTTTTCTCATGTATAAATATTTAAGTTTCCTTCCTTCTGCAGGGTAATTCTTCCCTAGGTTATATCACCATTGTCTGCCTCCAAACAGTTCCTTTGAGCATTTAAGTCCAAGGAAGACACATGGACATTTCACAATGGTTTTTCATACCTTCAGCTCCCAGTGACAAATCATCTTCAAAACTTCCTCCATTTCTCACAAGCACACCTGAAAGAAACAATAGAAGACTCATCCTGGTGTTCTCTTCTTCCTGACCCCCATGTAAAATCACTGTCTTAGTAAATCAAATTGACCAAGGAAAGTATATGATACAGTAAGGTGTTTCAGACTTGAATGCCCTCAGAAATTATTCTGATTATTCAATTTCAAGAAATAAGTATAAACTTTATCATAAAGAAACCATGATTTGTAGGCGGGTGAAGTTCTTAGAAGCCGATCTACAGTCTATTTAATACTTATGCCTTTGCAGATGTTCAAAGAAGTAACAAATCTTACCCAAGAATTTCATGGAAAACCAGATCCTGGAGCCATCATTTCTTTCGTGCTCCTATAGTAAGTAAGTCAGGAGCTCAAGCTAGATTTTCCTGTAAATGGTTCTTATACGCCTTGCCACTACCTGCACATTCTTGTCGTACTTTGAACTTCAGATTCTGTGGTAAAATTTCAGGTGTGGCAATTTCAGTTAATGTAAGCAAAGAAAGGCTGCACTCAAGCTGATCTAGTTCACCCAATATATATTTTCCTTATGTTCGCATATCACATTTCTATACCTGGTTTTTATAATGTCTTTAGCTGGACAAAAAAAAAATAGGAGTTTCACATTGTGGAAACATTTGGTAATTTGCTTCAACTCACCAATGTTTTAAAGTTTATTGACAAGATTTCTCCCTTTTGGCTTCTATCGCAGAACAACATATTTTAAACGTGAATATCACTTTTGTAATTCATATATATACACTTTTACTCAGAGGACAAATGAAGCAGGACCCTGTAAAGAACAGATTTAGAAAGGCAACTTTTTCTTACCCTTGAGTGTACTACTGCTTTGCTCATCCAGTGAGGCTCCCAAAGGGGTACTGAAACCACATAAACATATAAACCTTAGTCTTGAAAAGCTGTCTGGAGAGCTGTCACCACACAGCCTAACACTAAAGGGTTATAGCTAAGCAAGCTTCTAATCACAGTGTAACTCTCCTCCCAAACACACAAGGAATGCAAGTGGATTACATAAGGAATATGCTACTAACTAAGCAAATACCTATGTCAAGTCAGTTTACCAGGAATGATTTAATCACATGTCTGATCTGCCAGCAATTAAGAGCAAGAATGGCAATTACAAATGATATGAACTGGTATTTCTTTACAAAAACAGAAGAGAATGACAGCAGGAATTAAGAAAATGTCTGCTTCCCTCAGTCTGCTCCCTAGAAACAGGAAACAGAATTAAAAGAAAGCAAATCTTTACCTCAATAAAATTTAAAAGTCAGATCTAGTTAGAAATAAGGTTCAACAGTTTTCCTAACCCTTATCTGTTAAATCTATCACTTGCATTTTAGAGCAACACTTGGAACCTCCCTTACCCCAGTTACCTTTATTGATATAAATGAAGAGGCTGGAGATTTATTTTCTGCTTTTAAACTAAAAAGTACATATATTTTTCATTTAACTCTGGAAAGAAAATTACTTTAAAAAAATCAGCTTGAGAATCAACCTTAAGAACTAGCCATTACTAAAATCCTTTCACATTCATTCTTATAGTTCACAGATAACCTAGAAATCTTTTTAATGTAAAATAGTTTTTCACTTCTTTCTCAAAACTACATTAAAAAACAGATTGTTTTAGTTTGAAAATTCTACTTTCATAACAATTTACACCTGTTAAAATTCCATCAGAGAATCAACATAAAAATAAGAGATAAGAGTTTTAAACAAATGTTACTAAAATGCCAGTTAAGTTACATGCTGACTTTCTGCAAACAAATATACAAGCAATGGCAGTTCTTCAAAAATTAATGCTTTTTAAGCAAAATTAGTGTTTATGATTCGTTTTCAGTAAAATAATCATATACTACCATAAAGATATTAATAAAACCTTTGACCTAAGTTTTTGCATATATTTTAATAAAACTCAAATGTATGCCATCAAAAAGTCATTCTTCCGGATGGCTCCTTTCTTAGAACAAAACACTGTATTACTTCTTGTGTAGATGTATCCACTGGTCTGTGCACTAACACAAAGTGGCAAATAAGCAGAATATAACTGGCATTCTCCTTCAAACACAAGCATCTCACTCTTAGAATTACTCTCTTCCAAATTCTAGCAAAAACTCTGTCCCTTCTTAGATGCTAATTCAAGCAATTTGTTTCCACTTAGCCACAAAAAGGTTATCAAAATAAAGATTCCCTTTAAGGAAAGACAGCATGGTATCTTTACTCAGGACATGGACCGCAATAAGAAAACAAAAGACTGTTAGAGAACTTAGCAAGAAAAAAAAATGCTGTTCTCAGATCATTTGTACATAATGTACCAAGTAGATAGATGCTCAACTCTGGAAAGGCTCCTAAATCGTGATAGAAAAAAAAACTTAAAAAAACCACAATTGCATATATCCTAGAAGTCACATCTGTAATAATAAAGCAAACATGAAAAAGACTTGTTCTAGCTTTCCCAGGTACAAATGAATGTCACTTTTGTACAGAACAGATGCAACTGCAGAGAACAAAAAGGAAACCTTTGAGGAAAGGAGTGTCAGACTATAGAAACTGCCTAAATAAATCAAGATTAGCAATAAAAGTTCTGGAATTTTCAGACATAATGTGTCCTGGTGAATACTAACATTTGCTTATTGCATTTATCTTAAAAGATGCACTTATTTACTATTTGATACAATCAAGGAGATCCACCTGATACTCTAATACAATGTTAATTCCTTTACATCATAAAACAAACAAAATGTGATTCTTCTCTTACTCTTAACATTTTTTGTGTGCATCTTTAGAGAGAAGGTCTATATATTTTATCTTATCTCAGAAGGGTCTATGACACTCCCAACAAAGGTTAAGGAGTTCTGTAATAAAGTGTGTTCAGGAAGGCTCCAGGCAACTCATTAAAACAGGACATCAATAAAGTAGTGGTCAATATTTTATCTATCTTTAGGAAAGAAGAATAAACTGGCATACATGAGAATCAATCCCCCACCCCCACCCCTGCAAAAAAAAAAAAAAAAACTTCCCAAACTCTGGTACTTGAACAAAAAGATTAAGAAAAGTACGAAGTGTTGTGGCAAAAAATATGTGCAGGAGCTAACATCTTAATCAAAATTAAAAAGCAAAAGTCTTCATTTGAGATTTTATAAGTAGCAAGTAAATTGGGAAAAAAATAATTAAAATGTGAAATAAGCACATTTCACTCTGGTAAGACTTAATTGCAATATGATTCATCTCCTCCGTGCTTTATCAAACATTTTTGTACCAGTTGCCAAAGCATGTAATTAAACAGATTTATGCAGTCTGAATGCCTTCAAAGCTCTATTTCCCTTCCGTGAATTCCAGCGCCATCTGACAAATGCATTTCCAAGAAGTAAATTACAAGAACAAAGTTAGCTGGTTTTAATAGCTCTCCAAATAGAATTAGGGCACACACAAAAGTAAAGCCCAGTTAGTGTAACGTAGTTAATTAAACTAATCTAAAACACATTTGAAAGGGAAATGATTCGAGGCCAGATGTACAGATGTCAAAAAGCAAAATGAAATACTGTGTGAAATGTGAAAATCCTTCCGAATAAAAACCAGGCAAACATAATAACATGGCACGATTATCTGTTTTAGGTTTGCGATCTTTGATGATAAACACATCATGCATCGGAGCTCAAGTCCTAACAACTGGAGAGGCAACACGGCCGTCAAATAATCAGCGGTCACAGTACTTCCATTTCTAATCGCTTAAAGGAGGAAGCTATCCGCAGGCTCACTTTCCGGTGCATAGTTTACAACAGCATGGGACCCACAGGGACAGCCGAGTCCCTGGGCTCGGGCGTCCCATCTGCGTGGATCTCCCTCCGCGACGCGAGCGGCGCCAGCGAGGACTCACCGGCAGTCCTTGAGCCATATCGCGATCTTCTCGTTGGGCACGTTTCCTGCGGGGCAGAGGGAAGGGACAGCTCGTTACAGACCCGGGAGGGCTCCGAAGGCGGGATAAACCGGGACACTTCCAAGCAGGAAAATCTACTGGGGGCTAAATGCAGCCTAGGCAACACGTCTTAGGGTGCACCAGAAGAGAAACGCGACGGCACCGGGGTGCCTGTGTTGACGCTGGAGGCACCTCACCAAGCGCGCGTGTTTAAAGGTCGGAAGTGTCTCCTCTCCCCTCGGCCTATCAAGCCCGGGAGGATCTTTCACAACTTACCGGAGTCGCCCAGGCGCACGAGACTTCCCCCTCGCGCCAGCCCGTCTTTCCCCGAGTCCCCCGCCCGCCGCAGCTGCCGGGCGCACCGACCTCTCCCCGCGGCCGCCGGCAGCTTCGTGTCCGGGAGGTCCTCCTCTTCGTCCTCGTCCTCCTCCTGCGTCGTCGCTTCTGTGGACAGGTCCTCCGTCTCCGACGCCTGCCAGGACCCGCGGCACTTGGCCCAGGCCTTCCTCCTGCGACTCGCCACTTGCCACTCCAGTTCCTCCTCCGCCTCCGCCGACGCCACCAGGGGCCGGTCCATGGCCTCACGGGGGGCTCCGCTGCTCCAGCCGGAGCCTGCGCGAGACAAGGCGGCGGCGGAGACCCCCGCCCCTGCTGTCAGCGCCCGGCTGGGCTGGGGGCCCCGGGCAGCGGGAGCTGGAGGAGGAGGAGAAGGAGGAGGGAGAGGAGGAGGAGGAGGGGATGGGAGGGAGGGAGGGAAGGAAGGGGAGGGAGGAGGCGGAGGGCCGGCGCTTCACATGAAGCCGGCGGCGCGGGAGCGCGAGTGGCCCGAACGTGCGCCGCTGGGAGCCGAGCACCCGCCAGTCCCTACTCCCAGTTCCCCGCCCCCCGGCCCCCGCCTCTCTCCCCGCCCCCTGCCTCTCACCCCCGCCTCCCGCCTCCAGCCTGACGCGCCCTGGGCCTGGCCCGCCACCGCGCGTCTGCGCGCCCCTCCCTCGGCGGCGTCCCACGCCCCCTTCCGGCTGGGGGCGCGCGGGGCGGGGCAGGGCGCGGAGCAGCGCGGCGGGAGCGGTGTGTTTGGACCTGCTGCCCCACAGAGTGGGTGAGATTTGTTTGCTAGTTTGTTAACAGTGTTCTGTTCCTCGAGACTTCTGTACTCCAAAGCAGAAAAGTGCGGAAAGGCCAGGTCTCACTAAAGGGACTTCACCGCATCAAAACAAGTGTCTGCTTGGGCTCGCTGAGTTATCCGAGATGTCCAAGGAATTGTGTCCAAGGACTTGTGGGCAAAGATGAAAGAAAGAGGTGCGTCCTCGTCGTCCTCATCTTGTCAAAATGTCAAAACTGGAAAAGACCATGCTTCGTGGAGTGCTGCAGTCGTGCTTAAGAAAGTTGTTTATGATGGTTGTGTTATATATGCAAATGAATTGAGAAAGAATATTTAATCTGGAAATTCCACATTGAAGCTGGACATAGAGAAGGAAAGAAAAATAGAGCAAGGAATGGCTGGGAAGATGTGCTTGGATTTTGGTGCAACACGATACTACAGGAAACAAGTGATGTCAAGGTTCAGAACTATTTTTCAAATGCGTTTGAGCATTCCCTTTTGTTTTATTTTTTAAAATCTCAGCAGGAAGACTATAAAATCCTCTTCAAAGCCAGACATGAACTTCTAATGGTTTACCAGTATCTATAAAATCATATCCAAAATCCATGCTAACTTTCCAGAACCATCTTAATATCATTCTGGGCCTTATGTATTCTGCAAAATATGAAGGGAGCTATAACAGTGATACTTTTATATTATTGGTTTGAAATGTCACTATTATTCTTTAAATTTTAAAGACTTTTCAGCCTTCAAGAGTCCCATAGCTAAAAGCAGCTAACAGTTTAAAGACCCTCCAAAATAGGCCAGAGTAGAGCTGCCTGTAGGAAAGGTAAGGGGAGAGACAGGGAGGAGGTGGCACTCAAAGGTCAAAAGACACAAAGTATACGGTCTCCCTTTTCACTGGGCCCTGGTGGAACCCATCCTACCCAGCTGCTGCTCCCAGCTCAATTCCATCATCTCCACAGGCTGTTGCAGATTCTATGTCCTCACTTCTCAATTCATTCCTGCTCTTTCTGTCCAGTACCTTCATGGTCTTCAAGATCTGGTTGAGCCAGAATTTTTTCTCCACTACATTTATCCACCACTCCCAGTCACACCCTCTCGTAATTTTCTAATATGCAACTGAATAACATCTATATAATTTAGCTGGGGACCAGTAAATAATATAACTGGCCTCTGAGGATATATTTGACCTCCCTGCCAAATTGTAAACTGTGAGAGAATAAAGAACATTCTTTGGTATTCTTCCTGCACTCTTTACACTTCTAATACAGTGCCAGTCCCACAAGGAACAATGAGTTCTTTTGAAGGACATTTTCTATTCTTCATGTTCTTCAGAATGGGCAGTGGAATGGAGAAAATATTTTCTTCGTGTTGTTTCCCTAAGATCTATTCTTTTATTTAGTTTTATTTTGTTTAAACACACTTTTAGACAACAAAGAATTCTTGAGTAAAGCAATAATGATCCATAATTTATATTTGAAAACCAAACCACACAGTCAAATAGTAAAGAAAAATTGCCAACAGGTAACAGCAATCGTTGAATCTCCAATAGCACAATCATGTTTTCTTCTACATGGTAGTTTTTAATGCAAAATGTTACATACAGAAATAACAGAGAAGGAAATCCTTGAAACAGCAACCTGTTTTTAAAAGTAAGGGTTATAAGTGTATTCTCAACTTTGAGATTTTAAAAAATGGCCCTGGCCAGTGTGGCTCAGCAGTTAGAGTGTCTGACCAAGGACCAAAGAGTTGCGGGTTTGATTCTGGTCAAAGGCATGTAACTCAGTGGCAGTTTGATCCCCAGCCCTGGTAGGGATTGAGCGGGAGGTAACCAATCAGTGTGTCCCTCTCACATAGATGTTTCTCTCTCTCACATCAGTGTCATCCCCCATACCCCTTGCATCTGAAGATAAATGGAAAAATATCCTTGGGTGAGGATTTTTTTTTTTTAATGCCAAGGTGTTTTATTTATTTAGTAATGAATGTCCTACCACACATGAGGAGAGTGTAGCTGTTTGCTTCATAAAGGATTTTTTTCCAAACAAGTACTGTATTGTAGATCAACTGCAAATCCACATTGCAGAAATTCTGCATAAAGGTTGATGTCTGAGTCACTGATGCTCACAAGATGAGAAAGAAACGAATTTAGATTACATGTGGATAATTCCACTGAGCATGATATAGTGGAAACAGTGGGGTCTTTGGTGTCAGACTGAAGTTTGAATTCTCTTTATGTCTTACTAGTGTATGGCCTAGAGCAAGACAACTAATATTTCTGGTCATCGCGTTCCTCATCTGTGCAATAACAATCATGATGACTACCTTCCCAGTGATATAGGGATCACATGGAATAAAGCAGTTGGCTTAGTATAGCTATGGAAATTATTACATTGCAGAAGGCAAAAATCCATTTCATATGCGAGATTATTCTTATACTATTAAATGGCATCTACCTTCATGCTTATGCAGCTGAATTTTTTAAATGCCACAAATTCAGACTAGGACAAAAACACACTCTGGTTAAATTGGGCAGTTTTAAATAGAAAAGCTTATATCAAAAGTGAAACATGCTCAGTTAAATTACTTTAGTTATTTTTTGCTTTTCCAGATTTTAACAAATACCTCAAAATTAGAAAACAAGATTTACTAGTAGGTCAGCTAAAGCATTTTGGTTCTAGATATGGTACTGATTCTTAAACAATATTTATAGAATAAAAATTTTATTTTGTATCCCTGGCTGGTTTGGCTCAGCAGTTCGAGCGTTGACCTGTGGACAGAGAGTCCCGGGTTCGGTTCCTGCTAGAGGCACGTACCAAAAGAGGGGGAACTTTTATTTTGCGTATTGAAATCTCTAATTCAGAATATAATCAGAAAGTGATAGTGATGCAGTTTACCAAATTTTTTGCCCTTTAGTAAGACAAAGGGGAGCTGAGAGGTTTGAGGTAAGTAGAATTGCAGATTAAACAAACAATAGCATTTTATATTTCAATAAGATTACCTGGAGAGAAAAATTCTATATGAAAAAAATTTGGAAAACACTGCATGTCATATCCTCATCTCCCCTTACCCTAGCCAGTCATAACGAATGTTAAAGACTTGAGAAGGCCTTTTTATTTTTTTAAAGATTTAACTTTGTTTAACTCATTATTTCTAAAGTTTATTTCAACATGAAATCTTTTGGGCCTCTCAATATAACTATTAACATTTCCAGGGATAACAGTGCAATCATTTGCCATAGGATAAAAGAGAATGAAAGGAAAATGTTACTCCCCAAGTGAATTCTTCAAAAATGGTTAAAGATTTATTTACAAATCATATAATTGAACTATGAGGAAAGTGGTTTGTCTGACTTAGACTATTGGTTTTTTTTAACATATATATATATATTCCTTGAAGTCATTATTAATCATTAAAGTATTTCTGGGTTTTGTATATATTTTAAAGTAATAAAATTGCATATTTAAGGTCTATAATTACACCTATTATTTATTCTTTTACCTTAGCAAAAATTCAAGGGTTATTATACTAGTTCATGGTCCTCATGGATCAATTTGTTGATACACATATTTTTCTAATTTAAGGTTAGCATAACAATAGCATAACAATTGGTATTTTAATTTCCCTTATTTTCCCAAGTACATACCAGAAGGAGAAGCAGGTGTCAATACCACAAGAACTTTACTTTGAAAATTATTTACATAATCTGGATACGTTTTTATACTTTCTGATTTTGTGCCTGTTGAAGACTTGTAATTTAATTCTTCATTTCATCGTTCCCAGATCACAATTTCTTCAGTTTACCACATAGTGCGAAATGCACCCTCTCCATGGTAAAACCTTTCAGAGAGCTTGTTTTTTCAGTGGCTCAGTTCTCTGGTGTTTCTGAGCAACAGGTAAGAATGGCTCATCTATTCTTCATCAACAATGGCATGAAGCAAGATTATATAACAGAATAAGCTTTACTTGGTCTGTTTCATGAATTAATGAAACAACTCAAAAGAGCTTTTAAAATCCTCATATCTGGGCACAGTTACACATAGGAATGCCAAATGCTTTTAATTCAGTTGTGAAGTCTTAATACTCAACGTTAGTCAGTCCCTTATTCTTTTTCTTTTTAGTCCTGCCCTAAAATATTGCTTTTAAAGATCTCTGACATTTTGAATCATAAAGCTTTATTGCTATCAAGTGCTCAGTCTTACCATTTGAGAGTACACATTTTTCTGCGGTACACAACTAAACAGGAGGATGTCAATATTGCATTCCCCAGTTTAAACGCTGTCCTATGTTGGATCAGTTTATTGATACACATATTTTTCTAATTTAAGGTTATTTCTAGCTCATATATTATGTATGTGATTACTTCCTATATGAAGCCATTTAGAACTATTGAAAAAAATTTTTATCATTTCATTATGCATATCTTTGGAATTATATATTTACACGTAAATATGTCCTACATTTTATGAAGATCAGAAAAAAAGTTAGTGACTAGATGAACCATTTATCTAATATGAAAGTATCTTTAAAAGCTTTTACTGATGCAGGTCTTATGA